TTATGTCCTTCCATCAAATGGGTTCTGTCACGAGAAGACATCGCCCGCAGCATGATCTACCAAAGCCAGGCGTGGCCGCTCTATGCTTCCATGAACAGGCGGATTGAAATTTGGGACTCCAAGGGAAGCACCTCAACATACGGGAGCCGCAGTCAAGCGTCTACCACAATTGTTGTACATGCAAACTTTATGTACCTCTGCGCCCACAATACTTAAACGCCTAGGGGCCGACTGTGACAGGGCGACAGTCCTCAACCGACTCCCAGTCGCGGCAATCGCACCGACCTCCTGCCATCATACCCGGGGCCAAGATCGCGACGTTCACCAAGGCGAGAAGTCATAATGTCAAGCACTATAACTAATGGAAATTCTCAGCATACACATTTTCTTATGGTTGCGCGTGAGCACCGGTTCGCGAAGCAGCTCGAAGCAACGGGGTTGGGCTACGGATTGTAGTGCCAAGGCTTCAATCAGCAAACTTACATGCTCTGATGCAACACTTCTGGCCCCGAAAGGTTTAAAAAGATTGCAACCACCCAGTCACCCAGTGCTCCGGGTCCTTCGCAGAGAGATTGCTGAGCCTGGAATGGGTGGTTGTTTGAAGTTGCTGGCTTACAGTGGCGTTGGAAGGGAATGGTGAGTGACGATTGTCCCAGGGCCCTCTGCCAAACGGTAAACAAAAAACACCTTGCACGTCACAAACCTGGACCCTGATTCCTACAGGCCCTTGGGCGTGTAAGTGCATACAACATCGTGCAACTGTGCGCCCGAGGATCAGCAGAGCCAGCGACTCATCCACGAAGCTTTCCAGCGCCATTGCGAGACAGCTACAGCAAACACAACGTAGGGACTTAGTCTAGGTTTTTCAGGGTGTACCGATCCCTTGTTCTCTCGAGCTGGGGCTTGGAGTTTGGGAGTTTAGCATCTGTACTCTGATGAGAACCTTATCACAGTGACCCTACTGCGATTCTAGTCATGCAATTGAACTACTTTACATATTTTTCAGAGCCCTGAGAACAACAGCATTTTTCAACCAATAAGACACTTCATGGTCAATGGTTCCCCTGCTTTCTTGCATGTGTTTTCCTGAGCCCGGAAACGAACACGCATGCAGCCCCAATGGCAGGGCCTGAAGCTGTGCATTCATCAGATCTGGTGTGGGATCATAAATTCTTGAAGAGAGCAGACCACTGCAGGTCTCTCAAGAAGCAGACCACTGCAGGTCTCTCAAGAATACAGGTTGCAGTAGCATGTATAAAAAGTCTACATGAGGTTGACCGGGGGGGCAACTGACTCCAAGGGTCTTGGCCAAGCTGTTAGACCAAAAGATACCAAAAGCAACAAGATACAGCGGTATAGTGATGCGGTATTGATAGAGGCTGCGATGGCAGTGAGCACCGTACTAGTAATCACGACAATCATAACCACAATTCAGACAAGGGGGCGCTATGGACCCATACTTCGAGGCATAGCCCAACAAGTACCAGACAAGCATGTCCATAAAACATCATAAAGCATCACATGAAAAAAGAATGCTACTGGTACACACCACTAGTGCGCATGTCAATGACAACGTCCTCTGCCACATCCACGACGCCCAGGGCGGCTAAATCGACTGCATCAGATCCTGGCTAAGCTGTATAGTGACTGACCCATGCAAACCGTTCAAGGGCTTAGGGCTCAGGCAAAAGGCTTTACTACAGAGAAGGTAGTACCAACAGCAGACTTTTTGGGGGAAGGACTATCGGAGCTCGAAACCCTAGACCCTAAACCCCTAAACCCTAAACAGTAGTTTCCATTTTAGTTTCCATTATCCCAATATAACCCCTATATAACCCCCTATATATTCCCTATAGGATCCCCTAGGTAGGCAACTTTGACCAAGCTCTTTTGCTTTGTCAAGACGATACCGCATGAGACTGTCTCGCGCCAGGGGCTCGAAGGACAAACCAAGAGAAGCCAAAATTGAGGGACGAACAATATGTGGTCAAGGGTTGAGGGTTTTTGCTACATGTGAGGGTTCGGGATGTCCTGATGACCGCAATGACAGCACCTCCGGCCGAGCCTATTACATATGAGGGTTTGAGTATGAGCATGCGACATACTCTAAGCACTGTTGCAAGTTTTCTGCAAGTCCCAGGCAGTTAGTTAGACTCACGCAGCCACAATCAGCACAGAACAGAACTCCTTTTGGTAGTCTTTTTTCTAAGACCGAGTAGTTGTTGCTTTTGTACCATTGCGTCAAGTCTGAGGATTGCTGGTGGCTGCTGCAGATGCCCATGTTTGATCTACATATTTGAACATGTATATACGTATATACATATATAAATATGTAGTTCATGCGCGAAAAGTTGGTATTCGAAGTCAGGAGTACCTCCGGAGGCCGCAGGGGGACTGGCGGTCGTGCCGGGCGTGAGCCTCAGATGCTGAGCCACACAAGGCTATACTGTGTGGTCTAGAGCTTTACAGTTGCAGGGCTGCGGGGGGGAAGACTTCATGCCTAGGGAGTTTCGAAGCGAGCTACCCAGCAGGCCTTCCCATATTGTGGCGATATCAGACTGCGGTTTTATCACAATTGTTCTGGGTCCTGCGTGTGCTTTTGCTTTTGGGACTGCCAAGGGTATGTTTCCCACTGGTACCATTCATAAGTTATGGCTCTTCGAGTTGCGATCGCAAATATGCGAATCGGATTCTCTGACGAAAAAGCTCGCGTCAGGAGAATTTAAGCCCTTCATCACCCATTCCACCCCCTGTTGCCGACCAAATCCAGACAAAAAAACATGCAACAGTCACACCAGCCTCCAACACTCAAGCATACACGATAGATGGCAAACTCATCCAGTCGCAAGCCATTGAGAAAAATCACAGAATGGCTCTCGCATGTTCACGCAATGCACACCAAGAAAAGCATACTGATCAGCCTAGACATCCTGACCACATGCGCCCAAAAACTTTACACTGCAGTATTGTAGGAAAGGTAGCAAACACATGAGCCATTGTCTAAACTCCTAGTATCCCCCTTAATAACCCCTATAGTAGTCCCCTATATAATGCCCTATATATCTCCGTTTAGGGAGTTTAGACTATAGCCCATATAGGTGTAATAGGACCTCAGCATAAACAAAGCTACATCCTCTGTGCGCTGCGTCTGGCTGAAGAGCTAACCTGCCCTAATTCGCACTAGTTGCTAATAGTACTAATAGTACGAATATTCCCTAATATTACTAGTATTACTTTTACTGGTACTATGACTATTATTACCATTATTACTATCATTGGTACTGTTACTACAAATTATTGGTACTAGTATACTACTGTTACTACTAAATCCTGAGCCCCGTGCTCTGCAGCTGTTGACACTGCCGCTGTGGCTACGGCCGCGGCTGCGGCCAAGGCCGCCAAAGCAGGCTCGGCGCCTTTGGCGCACTAAGGGAGGGTTTAGGGTTTAGGGTGGGTTGCTTTGGTTATAGTCCCCCTAAAGGGTTATATTGGGATTATAGGGTATATTGGGGTAATATTGGGACAATGGAGAAGAAGATGGAAACTACCATTTAGGGTTTAGGGTTCTTGTCCCCCTCAAGTAGATAGAATATGGCTTTGGGTATACTAAAGTAAGATGCCCATATACCCTATGTTCTATCTACTTAAGCGGACTATAGGGGACAGGAGAGGGTAAAGAACTTGCAAGAAAGACAGCACGCGAGAGAATGAAGCATCCGCCAAACAGGTCAGTGCGAAATCAAAAGGAATGAGACTTGCAACAGCCACCTCAAGGCTAAGAACCCGATATAAGCTCTGGTGACAGTACTATTCAACCATGGCAGTGCTGCGATAGCCACCATTTTCCACATACTTACGGTAACAACTCATATAACATTATAACTTTGAAAAATATACATTTCAGATTTAAATTACTGACATGCTAGTTTGCATAAAACGGGGGGCCCTAATGTACAAAATAAACTCCAACACACTAGAACCCTTCTTATGACCCACATTTATCATCTATACCCTAAAACCATCTAAAACCTTTTCCTACCCTGAACCCAAAGGGCAGAGCCCGGCCCCTTCCTCTCAGCCCCCCACGTACCGCTGCTTTCGTTTCTGGGGCTGGCGAGTCCAAGAGGATGTGGCCTTGGAGAATCACAGAATCTAAGGTTACAGTAAAAAGTCTAGGGTTTAGGCTTCAATTCTAGGGCTTTATAATGGGTAGCAGAAGTTCGAGCTCACTGTCATGAATAAGAACTTGAAGTTGGAATACATGGATATGACTAAGCCGAAGACCACTTGTATACGTGGGGCTGATGAGGGCTTATGGATATCTGGACCTCCGGGGAATGTAGGCACTTGTGGACGTGCTGGGGGAGACTTGAGGATCAGGGTCCTTGCTTTGGTCCTTTCTCAGTCTAGCGCAGTGCAGCATAGATATTTCGAGGTAGATCTTGGGTGGGGGGTTGAACATATCTCTATATCTATGTGTGTATACATGTACATTCAAATATCTATATGTATATAATGTGCAAAATATATATAGATATATATATATATATTTTTTTCAAGCAGCTTGGTGATAAAAAAAAAGGTATGCTTTGGATGTGCCCATGGCTGCGGGCTCTCCTTATTGTAGACAGAAAGACTGATCGCATGGTTACTGCTCAAGATGAGACAAGTATATAATGATATGAACCAATGTCTCAACTCCTATTATCCCCATTAATAACCCCTATAATGGTCCCCTATATAATCCCCCTATGTAATCCCCCCATAAGCTCATATGTTACAAGGACTCCTGGATCCGGGACCTATACTTTTGACACCTCCTTGGGCTCCCCTGATAAGACCCCAAGTCGGTAGGATCCTCAGTGCGACGACAAAAGCCTTCAGCCCTAAACCAGGCATGTCCGCGATGATATGTCTGATGTCCCTGTATTTCTCTATGCTCACCATGACTTTGAGAAGCCACGCACTTTTCTTTTTTGTTTGTTGCGCAGGCGCAGCCTTCACCGGCGCAGCCACGTTGCTTCAGCGAAAAGAACACAAGGAGTAGGGTCCTGAGTCGTCCATTTGTACTGGGAAACCTGTGGATAGTTCTTACTGCGACCGTATGAACAAACAGGTAGCTGTTGACTTCAGATTTCCCATAAGCTACACATGGACTTCCATGTAGAATTCCGTGGAAACAATCGTGTAGGGCTGGGGCAGTTTGTGCGTCAAGTCTGGAGACGCGTAAGCTTGCTTCTCTTAGATGCATGTCAAAGCCAAAGCCAAAAAAGAAGATGAGCTCAAACAGCTGCTCAACTACGTCTCGCTTCGGGTGGTTCCGTGCCCAGCGCAAGGGGCTTGTTCACGATGCTGGCCACGCGATTTGCAAGGCGCAGCACTGCCAAAGTCTCGCTGTGGGCGTAGTCTACGGGAAGCACGTGCGCAATCCATATCCTCAGCGCCCGTAACGGGTTGCGGGATGGGACCCCCATGACGATCTCTAAAGCTAGGTGAACCCTTCAGCGACGCACCAAACGGATGAGGAAGGCTAGAAGAAAGAGAAACGAGCAGAACATCAAACGCTTCCTGCTCACTACGCACGACTCTAACAAGCAGCAACACCATTTAATGATGTGGGATGTATGACTGGTTATGTAGTCCTTGTAAGAAGGACTCCGAACATTTGCTTCAGGTTAAAGATCTGACTTCCTATGTACTGTGAGATGGCCATCTATTTCTTTGCCGACCGTACAATGCAAACCCGATCCTTGTTCCACACGAATTGAGGAACAGTGCCGAGCAAATTGAGGATCACTTTGCATCTAGAGCCATTCAAAAAGAGCAATACCGCTAGTACACTAGACCACTAGGCATGCACAGCTACTTGGAAACAGCAGTGATCATTCCAACTATGAATTCAGGAATCGCGAGGCATCAAGCTTTTTGTAACCACGTTCTTGTTGTGATTCGCTTTGATTGATATCTGCTACACCCTTCACGGATGCAAGCACTAATGAAAGCACCGAGGAGCGTTTTGGTGTTCCCCCCCAAAGACTCAGTCAACAGACGTGTGAGCTGGCCGTCCCGATATGGGATCTCAGCTGCGATCGGATCAGCTTCAGGGTTTAGGGCTTAGGGGAAGGTATCCAAGCAATCATGAGTTTCACTGCTCCAAAGCCTAAGTCTGCTGTTCTCATTTCCGGAAGCATCGGGGTTCCGCCTGAAGCTAGATCCGTCCCTGAGCTGTGCTAGGAACCATCATAGGCTTGAAGGTAGGTATGGGGCTTTGCATGTATGCAGATGAACAATTTTGTGGTTAATTGGTTCTTGGAAGAGCGCGATCGAGAGGAAGGGCCTGAACCTTTGAATTCCTGCAGTTTTCCCTAAAGGCGTCCTTTGAATCCTGGGGACTTCAAGGATGCAACTTGATGTAATTAAGAATGTAAGAATGCGGGACGCATTCGCACGTGGGTATTCCTCACAGTTGCTTGCAGGACTGAAAGACCCCACTCCCCCACATCCCCTTTTCCTGTGTGCGTCTGGACTCGAAGACACCTCATACTCTTTTCACTTTGCAGCTTGGGGACTGTGAGACATGAAAGCAAGTAGCTTGTAGCGGGACATGAAGGTGACTAGACCGTAGAGGTTCGAGAACAGCACACAAATCCCAATCACAGGAATCGATACCTGTGCAGATGGCTCTGCCTAAACGCCAAGCGCCACATGTAAACCAACTCTCAGGCCCTAAACCCTCAACCTCAAACCTGTTTTCCTTCTGAACTCCATACACCTCAAACACTGGAACCTATAAGTTCCCGCCAGATCGCGAGGCGGCTCCCGCTTGTAAGCGCAATGATCACCTGGATTCAAGGCTAAGGGCTTGCAATGGTTCGGGTCGTAATCCTTTCGTACTAACATTTAATATTCCCTCCCTTGATGTTAAACATGTCCCCAACAGATGTATGAGGTCTTAGGAGGACATATGTAGCCTTAATGGCCGGGGACTGTTTCATATGAATATGAACAGAGTGGTGGCTCTGGAATTTGGAGTGCCCAACCTCTAAAAAATATCTGAATGTATCATGCGTTCATCCGTTAAGTCACAGCTTCACTCCTTCACAGCCAGCGTGGCGCACGCTTCTCCCTCCCTACCTCACTTGCATGTTGAAGAACAAGAACAAATGAGCACCACGCTTCAATGAAAAAGACCGGTAGTGCCAAGCTTCCAGGCTTGCTAGATGGATTCCTTTCATGTGTTGCTGTGAAGTGGCGCGTATTCAGTTATCAGCATAAGGACATCATATTCTTGTGGTGGTAGCTTATCCTAAGTTTTTCCTGAACACTAGCCCAAGTTTTCGAAGCTGCATAAAAGGATCCTACTATCACGGCAGTATGTAGGAGGACCCTAACTTTGAGACGTAACTCTTTTGAGTCAGGATGTGAAAGTATCCGTCCGCTTTGACAGATTCGTGAACTTTTCACCTTTTTACAGGAACCCTTCCTACACTCATGCAAATCATAGCTTCGAACAAACTACATAATGCACGACGACCCATACCTTCATAGATACACACCACAACGTAGAAAACCAAAATAGTGAAAAACAAAACAGCCATTACTTGAACCCCAGAATTTCTAAATTACGTGTCTGAGCACTCCAGTTGGCCCCTAAACCCTAAACCTACTTGGGAGTTTCCTACAATTAGGGGTAACCCATTGGGGGTCTCCATAATAAGGATTGTAGTATTTTGGGGTCTACATTGGGTTCCCCTTATTTTGGAAAACTACCACTTTACTTTTGAGGTGCAGAAACAGCAAACCACGCCCACAGGGTCCAGGTACATATCAATTTTCTACTTGTCAGCTTCAAAATGCCCACATGGTGGGGGTTTCCCAAAATGAGGGGTACCTTTCTGGGGGTCCCTCTAGTAAGGATTTTAGTATTTTGTCGTCTATATTAGGGTTGGCACAGCCAAGGTGCTCGCCCAAGGGATGCTGAGGACTGGGCAAGAAGGGCGCCTTCCTGCTGGGTTGCGACTCCATACACTGAAGATATATTGGGTTCAGGGCGGCATGATGGAACGTCACATGGAAAAGAACATGCAACACACTGTTTAGCGCAGAATAATGGAGAATCGTCATGGAAAGTGGATGAGTTGGGGTCTGAATGGGTCTGAGTTGTGCTAGGTAGGTAGGGAATGACACACTAAGCTAAGGGACAACTAGGATATTGCTTTGTCCATCCGATCCCAGCAGGACTTCTCCCATGTGTTCCTTCCTTTGGATACACCTGCTAGTTCTCCCTTTATGTGCATACGGGATGCAAATAGGGGCAGGAATCGAATGTCGCCGTGGCTTTCAGAACCCTGCATACTCAGCCAATCACCATATTGCATGCGCAGTCGGCAAGTCCTTACCTGGGGCCGGTAGTGTAACCTCAGAGCCTCAGAGTGCTTAAGTCCTCAAGGCCCACAAAAATCCAACAAAACAGACCCAAACCCCAAGCCCCTGAAGCCCCAACCACCTGAAAACCCAGTTGAAGCCCCTCAGCTATCCTGGCCTGGAGCCGCTCCCCAGTGGCACCAGTTTTTGCCACCTTTTCGCAGCCCCGGCACTTAACCTGGTTTGGTTTGTCAGAAAGGGGCATGAGAGTCCTGAGCCCGAACCCCATTGCCATCCATGGCTTCCTGGCCAACTTGCAGTACCGTTCATCCCTTCACTCTCCAATACTGCAGATTGATACTGACAGCAGTATAGACAGAATTGCCACTTGCGGGAGAACGGTTCATGTGCGGGGAAGTAGCTTCCAGAACAAACAGCGAGTATAAGAGTCGAATCTCAGAATGGGTTCAGCATCCAAGAACCTCAATACTCAATTAGTCAAACATTTCAGGCTGATATAGGCTATCCCACATGCTTATACGAGCTTGTGAAGCTTAAGCTACGATTGCTCCATGCCAAAGCCAAAGTCATTCTGAAACCCTACATGTGTCGTAGGACGGTTTGTGTGGTGTTTATAGCGGGGGCATACGAGGAGTTCACAGGGATTAAATGCCCATTACGTGCGTACTTCCCAAACTGATCCCTACATTCTTCCCTTAACTCCCCTAGTGCGAGGTACCCCCAATTTCTTGCAAAATTACCATTTAGCCAAGGGTCCAAAGTGAGCTTCCGACGGCACAGGTCACCCGAAGGGCTGCGAGACTGCAGAGTCAGGGTGACAACGATGTCCTGCATGCGGGAGCATGTTCAATTTTTGGATCTGTGAGCGCAGATAGTAGGCGCTGAACACCAAATAGCTGTGTTGGGGCTTTCAAAAATTCAGAACCTCCTTTTGGGAGTCCCTGTTTGGCGGATTACGATGTATCTAAATTGGAACCGCTTTTTGTGGAAACCTCATAGAATAGAATCATCTGCCAGGCGTCTAGGTTACAACTGCAGAAGTCGGGATCTGAGTGTGAGGTATCTATGCGAGTATTGCAGCCGTTCCCCGAAATTATAAGTGCGCCCATATATTCCGCAATGTGGAAACGCTCATTATGGCCCACGGCCCTGAAACCACCACAGAGAAGAGGTTCTGAAGGAAATCTTAGCCCCTGCCTTAGTCTACAAAATCTCAGTCCTAGATGCACACTACACCCTAAAATGTGCGGATCCACGCTGTTGAGTACTGTCCTTCTTGCTGGGGTCTCCACGTGTCGCAGCACTCTGCGCCCAGCCAAACCTCAAGACCTGGCAGCCGCACTCGGAACATGGGCCCCCGTTTCATGGATGGAGAATGGGGGGGGATATGATTATGGTTTTGGGGACTTCCATCTATTCCGCCTACTACTTAAGTGGGGCTACAGGCCTTTTAGAGGGTCTGGGGTTTCCCAGACTGCCTGGCTTGTTTGAGGGATCGGGGGGTACCTGCAGAGGCTTCCTTGGAAGGATTGCTAGTAGAAAGCTTCAGGAATCGCGGGTTTGGGGTTCAGGTTTAGGATCCGATGTTTAAGTGTTTTTGGGCACATTCCTGCCTTCAATTTCTTTGAGAGCGGAGCTGAAAGTAGGAAGCACGCACTTGAGAAGTGGAATCACATTGTCCAAAAGACTTTTCATAGCGAGATTCTCTCAGATAATGCTGCTTAGTAGTCAGGACGTGTTGGCTGTCTCCTCCTTTCTTTGGCCCACAAGTTCCAGCAAGTTTGCGTGCCTGCGTGTTCATTTGAGTTTGCAGAACTCCGTGCTTTCGGAAAAGGCTATCTCATGTCCATGTCTCACAGCTTTGAAAAGATCTCTTACAAAGGCCCGTGCAGCTTCAGACCTCACTGCCCTTCACAGCCTCGTGGTCAATGCAACAGTTCGAGATGTGCTACATTTTGTTGCGTGCCAACGTCGAAACCCAGTGCAGCCCCGCACTACTGAGCTCCCAGAAAAGCCTCCACGCCAGTCTTCCTTGCATACCTTGCTACTATCTTTACATCAGCCGATCTTTCAAGTACCGCGCGCGTCTATGCAGGAATGTCTATATCCAGTCTTGGGGCAGGTCCCTGCATATTGCCATGCATTGCAAGAAGGCAAGCATTTAGCCTTCAAGCTGTATGCAGACCTTGCCCTCTCAACCCAAATTTGAGAACTGAAGCCAACCGTCAAGTGACCCCGCAGTGCAGTAGTGCAGTTGCATGCAGTTGCTGCCTCCTCCAATTCGGCCAGTGATGCGACCTCGGCGATTACAGATGCGCGGGGCTTCAGGGATCACGATTTGGGCTTCTTTGCCCTTTCAGGTCCACAGTCCTTCAGGTCCGGGGTCCAGTTCACAATTTGATGCACATGCAACCGTACCTCTCACACAAATTCATGCAACACTCCTGCACAGTTACAGAATGCGAGCGCTGCTGATGAGTGCACAGTCAGGAATTGCGCACCCCAAAAAACAAGAAGATGCCCCACACGCGCGGAGACATGCCAAAAAAGTGCAAGATAGTTTCGAAACACACTCTTTGGGGCGTAGGCTTCACGGCTCGTGACGGGTGCAGGAGGATACTGGCAAGGGCTCTCCATCACAGGGCCTGCTTAGAACGGCTCCCTACAGCTCTAAGACATCACCGTTCACCAGTAAGCCCAAGGGCCGCGATGTCCACACCGTCTTCCACGTAGATCCCACCCTTCTCTGGAGCATCACGCAGCTTCTTTGGCCTTTTGACTTCCATTGGAGCAGGAACTGTAGTAGACACGACGATAGTAAGTAACAAGACTAACAAAAAATACGAGTAACAGTAATAGTAATACTACTGAAATTAATTGTTCGAATCCCAATTGAATTGTGACAGTCACTCTGGGGCGGTGCGCTCTGGATTCGGAGAAACACCCTCGTTCTGTAAGAGCTTCGCAGAAACTGTGCAGGCACATGTATAGGGAAAGTGGCGATTTTGCCTATAGCTGCTAGCTCTAGCTCCTACACAAGGCTGGGGCGCACGATCCCAAGCACTGCATCCTTTGCCTCACATTTACAGGCCCAACCTCAAATTTCCAAGCGTTACCCTCAAACATCTGGCTCTTCTGACCCCTCTGCCTCTGGCATGGCTTTGAAATCCAGCACCTTTGACCCTGAATCATGATGAGGCGCTTCATGGGATCTGTAGACAGCATATCCAAAACCTTCTCCGCGTAGATCTGCACAAAGGCCTCAGAGCATTGAGTAACGGCGGCGATGCTATGAGCTATGAGCTAGACCTATGCTCATGCTGACGACTTGAAGCATTGCCGGAGCGAATCTAGCATGAAACCCTAAAGAAGCCTTGTGCAATGATGTTCCATGTGAGTTTGTGTATTTAGGGGCGAAGGGTTTGGGAACTCCTCACCTGATCCCAATCCCTAACAAGGACCTTGGACTCCCTTCTAACCTCCGTATATCCCGAGTGTCCCTAAAGGCCTGTACTTCAACAAGCCCTTAAGCCCCACACTCCTAAATCCTGAGCCCTATATAACCGCATATAACCCCTATAAAGATAGATTCAAATCCTCACTCAGGGCAGGCCCGAGCCTACTTCACTTTTTGGATACTGTCCCTATCTGAGGGTTATATGCCCCGATAATGGAGAATCAAATCGAAAACAAAATGGAAACCCTAAAGGGGCAGAGGTTATATAGCTCCTCCAATAGCTCCGCTGTAGCGGTCATATAGTTTTAGTACGGGCGCTATGTAAATGAAACTGTTCCGTTGGCAGCATTTAACGGCCTTCTCCGCTAAACCTCATCACGCATCCTGAGTATGAATGACCGCTGGAACAATAAGTGAGGCCAAGACCCCAAACTACAAACTTTAGTCTCTCTAGCACCCTAGCCGCCGGATCTCAATCCCCAAACGCAATGCACAAGTTCTAAGGCCAACAAACTTTCATGCCTCTGCAAGAGGCGCCATACTGGTCGCTGTAAGCTGAAACTCATGAACTCGAAAAAGTATATGGAGCCTAAAGGCAGTATGCGGCCAAAATCTGTCAGTGCCTGGTAGGTTTGCTGATCTCTTATAACCCTGTAAGGTGCCAGACGGCCCAAACGTGCCCTGAACCCTACACCGAAACTGCACAACAGACCGTCTGAAATCACTACTAGTGGCGCAGCGCATTTTCCACTGCCTCTGCTTCAGGGCTTTACGTCCCAAGCGTCTTTTATGCGAAGCTCTCGACTCTGTTTGCCGAACCAGAGGGATGAGTTGAGGCTTCGAGGCTTCGTAGGGGCAACATAAACCCTTCAGCCTACCCTTTCTGAGTGCATGCAGTTGGGGACTTGCAGTTGCAGGTTGAAGCTTCGTGTTCGCGGATGGCGGTTCTCCTGTAGAAGCTGCCAGAGAAGCAGGCATAGGCATTCAACGAAACACTCATGCAATGTTCAGAAGTGCAATGAAAGTAATCCCATGAACCCTAAACTCCAAACACGTCTAAAACTGCGAGCTAAGCTCAAAGTGACCTAGCGCAGCTAGGACACATCCCCGGCGTGGCTTCAGCAATCCGGAAGATCTGTTGGAAGAGTCTCGGTGCCAGACCCTCGCAATCCTGCTATGTTAAGCAGACAGGGCTTGCTGGGAGCCGGGGGCTCTTGTCAGTAAGGAATGGCTCCACGGTTAGGAAGGGATTAAGGCATTCCCTGGACGGAAGGCTAGCACTTTGGCTCGTTTGGGCACATGAGAACCCTCGCCTTCAGACTACAGGGTACCAATCTTGGCCTATGTAGAACCAAGCCTACTTTCATGCAGCTCGACTTCTTCACTCTAGCAGCATCTAGCAGCTAATCCTGCAGGATTAGAAGCCTCGCAGATGCACCTGGTTTTCAAGTTGCCTCCGTTAATGTTTCCAAAGCGCGGGGCCCCAAGGGAAGCTAGAATCTTCAAACCGGGTCCTTCTCGTTGTGCGCGGCATACTACTAGCAAAGGTTTAGAAATGTCCTTGCAGAACTGAAGTACGTTGGACTTCACGCCAACCTCGAGAACCTACTCCAACGGGTCAAACAGTGTGCCGGATGCCCAACCTACAAGGCTGCCTGTGAGACAGACTTGGACATGACAGTGTTGCTGACAATTGTGATATGGAATGTGCTATACTATACTATACTATATTGTGCTATATTATATTTTACTACATTATAATAATGCATTTGTCGCCGCCCCCCTCCATCCCCCCGTGTGCTGACTCAATGATGCTGATGTCTGGCAAGATTCTTGCAACCTAATCTCTCTGATGTCCCTGCAGCGCCCCTCCAAAGCAAACGCCAGTATTTACACCACCAAAAGCGCCCGTACGCAACATAGAGATCCCTGATGCCTTCGCTCGGATACGGTTATGGTAGTTCCCCAAAACGAGAAATGAGGGGACCCGACTCCAGACCCCAATATACCGTATCCCTTTATTCTTGGGACCCCCAAAACAGCATCCCCCCCCCCAATTTTGAGAAAACCCCATATCTTGCTTTTAGCTTCGTGGCCCAAAGCTTGCTCCCAAACCCTGCCTCAGGACACTCAGGAGGGCTTTCAGAATCCGCACTTGTTCCGAACCTGAGTTGCACTTAGGGCAGGGCCGCTGCACCCCGTTCCCAGAGGGCCCAACACCCCTTGAGTGAGGAATGTACCTGAGATATTACCAGGGATCCTCATATGTTTTATAAGGTATATTCCTTAATTAAGGGGTCTTGGGCTACCTGGGTTCTTGTCAAATTTGAGGGCAATGAGGGAGACCATGCTGCAGAGCTGGGATTCCGTGGAACCCTTCCGATGAAGAATTCACCATCAAGTTATATGAGCAGCTACCTAGATTATGAGAAAACAACTAAGTAAAAAATCCCTTTCGGGGG